CTATTACTTTGGCATTAATATTTTTAAACGCATTTCAACTATTGAAAAGATCGCATATGGCCATTTTCTATCATCTGAATAAAAGTTGTTTGCAAATTGCAATTTCTTAAAAAATGCTAAAGAAAGATATTCCCACAGAATGATTTTTTAAAACTATTTCTTCTTATAATTCAAGTTATAAAATGTCAACCGATTTTGATATCGATTATTAACAAACATTTTTGTTATATTTCGGACGTTTGCCTGTGAATATATTTGTATGCCTGTACAACAAGTACAGTCTATAGTCAGTCATATTTAAAACTGGGCACTGCATGCAGGATATCTTCAAGTTGGGCAATCTTTTTTTTACTGCTCCCCATACATATTACCACAAAATTCTAATTAAATTTCCATTTCGAGGTTACATTTTCGAAATAAATATGATTTATTAAACATAATTCATCGTTTTAACAAACATTTTAAAAATGCATTAAAAAGATATATACAAAAAATATAGTCATATAAAAAAGGTGCATAATTTGCGCATATATATTAAATACCGCAACGCAAATTTCAACTAATAAATTTTGTTAATACTTCAATGAAATATGAACGGTAATGCACTGTAGGTAAATGACTATGAATAGACAGATATGTAGTGTGTGTTTTGCATTACGATTATGGCGGGCACATTAAATGGCCATTTATGGCTTCCGCTGAGTTTGCTCAAAACGTACCATAAATGCGCGTCGCGGCGGCCGCAATGGTTGAATGCCGCAATATAAACAAATGCAGTCGACCGCATGCACATACAAAACAGGCGGCCACACTGTCCGCAAAAAGTCTGCCACACCAGCGTATACTTTACACAAAACAAAAATACCGAAACAAGTTGGAGAAAAAAAAAGCAGACCACATTACCAAAAAGCGATTACCGCGATGCAGTTATAACGCGCTAATTTATGTGAAATGCACGGGAATCCGTAATTTTTGTTTAGGTTTGGGTTTTGCTTTCCAATTGATTGTGTGTATACACACACACACACACGCACACACACATAATTGATAACACATATATTATGATTTTAATTGAAAACAATACGCGCACGGCAGGCCACAATGTGCCACGCGGCGTATGCGCGATTTCAATACGCGCAGAACTTTCACAATGCCAGCAGCATTAAGTTTCGATTTATTTCAATCAGCGTGCGGCCATTTGCGCCGCCGCGCGTGGACGCCATAAAATTGCAGTAAATTAAACAGTTGTAAAGTTAAATTACGCACTCGATATGCATATATACGTTTATATGTATTTGTATATGTTTGTATGTATATAAAGTATTCTGCTATCTACGTTGCCTTGCTATACCCTGTAATCATAAAACTCAGCATCAGTTGCTTTTCTTACGTTGTTACCTTTACAAATATCAATTTTTTACAATCAAAATTATAATGTTTGAAGGTAACTTCCTTCCTTCTTTATAATTTTCTCAAAATTCAACAGTGATTTTGTTTAAAGCCTTTTTACATTTCAATCTAGGATAACTGCCTGTCATATACTCTTGCCAATTTAATTTTGTTTCTTTTTTTTTTTGTATTCAATTCCGATGCCATTTGCGTCGGGCGACTGTTGCGCATTTAAATCCAATGGCATAAAATATTCTTACACTTCGCCTTCTCGCTCCCGCTCCCCTACGACGTCATACATTGGGAAATTTAATGGAGTTGAGATCCTCGCGCATTTGCGGCTAAGACCCGCGTCCGCAAGTGTTGACTGCCGCTAACCGCTTACTTAGGCCATTATATGAGCCCGACTCCTCCCGAGTCGGCGACATTGTATTAAGCGCAAAAATTTATGGCAATGCGGCGGCAGCAAATGGTCTTCCTCTTATTCTATGCTTTAAGAGACTCGCGTAAGCGCGACGGTCTTAGCCAAGCACTTGTGAATTTATGGACATGGCCTGCGGTGTTCTGGATAAATGCACAATCAGCTGATAAACCAGATGGCTCTTTAAATAGTTAATTAATCAATGAGCTCGCCGCAGTCATCATTTTCAAAGAATGGCCTCTGGGCTATCTTCTTAAATGCACAGTTTCGCTGATAAAAGGCGATCTCTTTAAGGCAATGCCAGGCAGCTGCCTTTCAAATTGTCTGGGCTCATCCGTTGTTTATGCATTTGGCTAAACGGCCGCTGGCCATGCCCATAAATTCACAAGTGCGTCCATTAATGTCAAAGCCTAACAAAGTCTTTAAAAGCACAGCAACGTTCAAAGTTGTGCGATAGTTGAAGAAAGTTTGTCCCAGCTTTGCGAGGTTAGCTCTGAGTATTTACCTGATTCTTGTAATAGTTTTTAATGTCAGTTTACTCTGTGAGGTTTCGGTATGTAAGTTAAAGTTCGAATTGAATAAATATAAATAAACACTAGAACTTAATATATATCCATAAAATACTCTTTTTAGAATACAGTTTTTAAGGTTTAAGCCGAATGCAACAAAGCTCACTGAGAACTTAAAGCTCGATATAATTATTTGAAATTGTATTTTACTCGCTTGCACTTAAATAAAGCTTATAGGTTGATTTCTTTATTACACGATTTAGAGCTCTAAATATATATTCAATTTAGTTCATATATGTCTCTAGACTTTCCAATCAGCCCTCTCAAGTAAGTAGTTATTTACGTGGATGCGATGCGAGTATAAACTCATATTGTTGTGATTGTATTGGCAGTGCGTGTGGAATACATTTACCATGTTTGGCTCTCGTTTTATGGTCTTCGCCCTGCTTCACACCTTGCCGCACTATACAAATTGCAATTTTTATAGCATGCGATTTTTAAAAATGTATACGGCACATAAAAGCAGTCACGGCACGTGGCAAAAACGGAGACTGAACTGCAACCTGTAAAAAAAACCGAGTTTGTCTTCGAAAAGGGTTTATTTTTTTATACACTTGCGGAAGGTATCATAACTTGGACACGATATGTGCATTTAGTGCTCATAAAGTATTTATATAGTTAGTGTGGGACTATAAGCTGCGTCGATCGATGTGCCTGTCTATAAGAAATCTACATTCAACTTAGTTATGCTTACGCAATTTTGCACAGTTTTGCCTTTTTGTTGCTGGAAGACAAACATTTATCTTTAAAAAATTTGTTTACAACTCCAATGTTCTCAACTCTTCAGCAAAGATTATTTCATATAGCTGAATTCTTTGCTTGAATTTCACGCTTACAAAATATTTATTATTCGTATATTTGAAAAAGTAAGGCGTTGGTATTTTAATAGCATTAATAAATGTAAGCAAGAAAGTGAACTTTTGTTTTGTGTGGCTAAATTGATGTATTTATGTCGAATATTCCAGTACATTGAGGCAAAGAAAGTTTCCTTGAAGTTTTTCCTTTTCCATTTTCGGACTTAAAGAACTACCGTCAACTATATAATATAGCTGACCTCGGTATCAAAAACGCAAGGTTTTATTTTTCAGAGAAGTGTATTGAAGCTTCGTCATATTCATGTTTCAAATCGCACTTCTTGTTATTGTACTTATTTTCGTTTTATTTATGTATTAATGTTTTATTTATGATGTGCCAAAATTGAATTCAAGCGCAGTAACTGGGTACTTATTTGTTTTTGATTTCCCCTGTTGTCGCTGGATTGAAAGTTGGTTTTTAGTTGATTTTCGTGGATTGCGTGCGCACGAATTGAGGTGAATTTATGTGCTTAATGTTGAGCATTTAGCTTGATGCGGCAATATTTAGTTTTGTTGCTTTTTTCACAGTTACAATTTTGCGAGCTATGCGCAAATTGCATAAAAACACGCAGCGCTTGCTTATTTTTATGTAATTGTTTTGTTGTTTTTTATATTTAAATTTTGTATAGGCATATTTGTTAAAACTGTTTTTTGTATGATTGCGTGTCTTTTGTCGTTTGGTTATGTTAATTTGACTGCTGTTTGCAGTTTTATGCTGGTTTTTTGTTCATTAAATATGCATGACATGCAAATGGCGGTCTCATGCCAATTAACTTTGATCGATTCAACAAAATGGGCGACAGCATTTTATGAGCAATTAATGTGGTTACCACTGCGGTCGCCACATGCAACCGGCGGCAAATTGATTGCGACTGAGCGACACTCCAGCCCGATGCCAAAGATCTTATCAGACTTCAAATGGATGCAAGTGTACAGTATGAGAATTTTCAATTTCATTTAATTAGAACGTCAGCCTCAGTCTGATTTATGTTTGTGGTCTAATCAAATTAAATTCCCTTAGTCTGCCGCTTGCATATCGCGAATAATTAGAATAATATGCGAAACTCGACTTGTGTACTTTGGCATATGCATTGCAAAGTTCAGCAAATAAATGAAAAAGTTTCATAAAAATGGATGCAAATGCAAAATTTGCACATCGCCGGTCTGGGTTGTTGGGTGTATCTCTGCCCGTCGTCATATATTTAACGCTTCGCTGAATGCGCCGCAAATGCATAAATATTCGTATGTGTGCACGGCGTGTATACCCAAAAACGCCAAACGAGACAATTACGGCGCAATCACAGAAACGAACCGAAATACCTACATAAACACAATTTATTTGTTTTGCGCTATGCACACTTAGAGTTAATGGCAATGACACAAAATTTTGAGCTAAAAACAATTAAACGTGCAAGAGCTGGTGGTGCTAGACGGCCGAATACGCTATTAAAGTTACCTAAATGAATAAGTTAGTAAGTAAGGGGTCTATATATTCATGTCAGTTGTCGAGTCTTATTTAAAAATGTTTATTTAGTTTGGGGAGGGAGATCAAAACGTTTTGTCTGACAGCTGTAAGAGGTTAGGAGCAAGTCTCTCCTCTCGTTTGAGGGACATTTGGTAAAGTATTTAACCACTTTTTTTCAAAAATATCTCATTTATTCTATACTTCTAGAGCATAAGTTAGCTTGAAAAATAAATATACCATATAAAATTAAGTGTTTTCTCTAAAATCATAACATACAATTATATTCATCATGGCTTTCTTACCTCTTTTAGCTGTTCTTTGGCTTTTCCAATAGCATAGACGGTCGGTGCCTGAAAGAAACAAAAAAGTGGCGCTTTTTAAACTTATGATCTCTCTATATAAACAAGTTTCTGATGCACTATCAAGTCAAGTCAAGTGATATTACGTGTTTTTTTTTTGCTTTATTTTTTTTTTTTTTTGGGTTATTATTAAGTGTAGAACCCGTAAAATCAGAATTTAGTACCTTAAAAACACATGCATGGAAAATGTAATTTAGAGCCGAACCCCCTAAGGATTTTAAATGATTTGTATGTTATATCCCCAATCTATCGCTCTCTTTCAGCCTTTGCACTCCATTATAAAGCAACAAATGTTACATAAATAGAAAATCTTATCTTACTCGCTGCATCAAACAGTTTATGATAGCGGCTAATAATTACGGACAAGTTTAGACCACACGTCGGCAGACATTTGAAATGCGGCAAAAGTGTTGCATACTTCGCAGCGCCTGCACATGTAATGGCGCCGCTCTAAATCGCGTTGCCCACTTTTCAGCGTCGTGCTCTTAGCTCGATCCGAAATCAATGTAAAATATGTTCGGTGTTATTCAAGTAAGATACTTAAAACTTGGAAGGTATACTTGGGGTTACATTTTGTTGAGCACTAGAGGTGCGTGAATAGCGATTATAAAAAACTTGCTTTTTGAAGCAACGGTCACCTTAGACTGTGAACCTATTTTGAAGATCCGCCTAAAATTGACCTCTGATGTCTCTATATATTTTATATATTCTACAGCCTTAGATCTAAAGTTGCATTGAAGCTCACTGGATAATTTTCTATAAAGATGGATACATCCCATAATAAATTTGTCAAAAAACCCCTTTTTAGGCTGTAAATGGATTGCAAAGGGGTATTTCGCGGTCGGTTGTACCCGACTGCAGCATTTATATTTTTCTATGTTGTTGTTGTTCTTGTTGCTGTCGGTTGTCGGATGTCGCTGTTGTTGCCACTTGAGCGTTGCCCCGTTTCTCATTATTCTTGTTGCCATTATTAGAATACTTTTCTCTGCTGTCGTTAACGTTCGTCGCTGTTCTTGTTGTTGTTTTTGTTGCCGCTGCTGCTGCTGCTGCTGTTGACTTAGTCAAGAGCAATTAACATGCAAATAAGGCCTATTAGTTACCTAAACGTCAGTCAGTCAGCTGCTGCGTCTCTCAGAGTCAACGGCAGCCGCCTGTTTGCTGCTAGCTGGTTGCCGCCTCTCATTCTGGACACCTTTTCGTGTGCACTTATTGGCCTCTTAAGGGGCGCGGGCGCGTGGGGCATTGCGTTTTAATGAGTTACTAATTTTCAGGGCTGACTGCGAATGACGTCGCGCTGTTCGCTTCAGACATTTCAAAATTCTTAATTGTCTATTTAGGAGCGATGGCCGTTGGCCGTTCATAACATTAAGGTTAACGTTTATGTTTTGATATATACCAAACTTTTTGATTTCAAAAATTACATGCCCAAACATTTTTGTAAACAAAAAAAGGGTTGCCTCTTACAACTGCGTCGTCATGAAGTTAATCCATAAAGCAAGTCCCTTAGTTAGGCAGTTCTTCTTGGTGTTTAGGAGGCGAATTTAAGTGTAAGTAAGGAATTAAGTTTTAATGCTTATTTTTTAACCAAGAAAAGTTATCTAAAGTTTGAATTGTGTCGATTCAATCAAGAATTTTCTAACATCAAATCAAATGCAGCTCTTTAGTCTGGCAACCATTTCTATGCTGTTGGAACGCGCGTTTAGCTTTAAGATCCATGTTTTAACCAATTTAGATCTAATTATATGAACTCAAGCTTAAAAATGTAGTCTTATTTCTTGTCTTACCGATAGAATAAGAGATATATGCAAAGCAATTAATCTAGCCTAACCAAGTTTCTCTTGCAGGCCATTCCTTAGCTTGGACTACCCCATAATAATCTTTAACTAATGATCTTTATTCTAAATAAGAAACCTAACCTTCCACTTATAACCTTGGCCTATTGATATCACTTCAATTGCCTTTGCAGGGCATCTCGCAGTTGATATGCCCTTGCTAGTTCTTTTATATTTTGATTGTTATACCTAAAATGCTAAGTAAACCCTCTCCGTAATCTAATCACTTTTTCTTTTTGTTTGCCTCATTTATCGAATGCTCTTTTCTCGTGATTGGCGCATGAAATTTTTATGAACTTTGCCTTTTGCAATTAATGTTAATTGATCACTTGAATTTGTGCATTTTCATTAAAACTTTTCAAAGTCGCGCCCCAGTTGGGTCAACATCATTTGCCACGAATGAGGCATTCCTTGAAAAAAAAGGAGAAAAAAAAAAGCGGAACAGAACAGAGAAGAAGAGAAATATTTACACAGCTCCTGCGGTAATTTATAGTCCTGGCAAAGGCAAAGGCAGCTGCACACAATGCTCGGGGCTATGGATTCTGGACTCTGGTCAGTGGCACTGGCAGCAAGTTTAACACCAGACCAGGCCCGCAAATCGCCGTTGAATGTGCAGCAGCACCTGCAGTATGTCTGTGTGTGTGTGTGTGTGTGTGTGTGTGTGTATGTGTACATAAACACCTACACGCACGCACACATTCGCACAGTCACATAATGGAGCTGCGGTGTGGACAATGAATGCTGAGGGTGATGATCCAACGTGATTTATCTACTGGCGCTGAGGTTAAAAGTTTTGCGCATACTCTCATTGTTTAGGTCAGGATTCCCTTTGTATGCACAGCACAGCACAGCACAGCATACACTCCCCCTCCATAGACATAGACACACACACCTTAAACCACACGTGCTATAGACACTGCATAGAGCTGAATGGTCATGCAAATTCCCGCCATGTCAGGGCTGTCAGAGTGCGTTGAATAATATGCTAGCCCTAACATTGAATGTTAGGTACGCAATTATTAAACTTTTGGCATAATTTTGGCATCCAACTTTTGGCTTTAACCATGATTATTTGATCCGTTTTAACGTCGGCTAAGCCGTTTAGCCAGATATCTGATGCCAGAGGCCTGCACCACAAGATGCTGACAGCCAGCTCATTATTTAGCCTCGCCGAGTGTAACTAATTATTGTCGGCTCGCTTTTCGTTTTTGCCGCACTTATTGACAGACTCTGCGACTGCTTCTTCCATTGCCCGTGCCTTACTCGCGCCTTCTGCCTCAGCCTTGTGCAATATTTCGCTGACGCTTCACTCGGATCCATCATTTTGTGCAGCCATCTGCGACACGTGGCCCCTCAGCTGGCTAATAAATCTTAATCAAGCGCTGTCCCAGTCAAGCCACAGTTATAAGGGCGTTGCCTATTTGCGGCTTTTACTGCCATAAACACTTTTTTTTGCTGCCATCTTTTCTCCTATTTTTTTTTTGTTTTTCAGCTTATCATATTACAGGACATTCATTGGCTTGCGCAGACTACATTACGCGTCTTATCGAGTAAACACATTTCAATGCTGATAAATTTATTATTTAGCTTGTTAAACATTTAAGTTTAAAAGTGTTGCCGTCACATCAACGGCATCTTATGGCACCATTTAGAATCCAAGATCATGCAAAAGCTTGTCCCACCAACCTTGGGTTGTGGTAGCAGCCGGTGCCTCAGTGGTCACATTCCAGCTGGGCGTAGTGTTATTCCATTCGGGTACGGGACTCGTCCTATTCCAATTGGGGCCCAATGTTGTCGTGTTCCATTTTGGTGGGTTTGTGGTGGTCCAGTTCCAGCTTGGGTTGCCCGTGGTTGTCCAGTTCCAGCTTGGGTTGCCCGTGGTTGTCCAGTTCCAGTTTGGTGGGGCTGTGGTGGTCCAGTTCCAGTTTGGATTGCCTGTGGTTGTCCAGTTCCAGCTTGGGTTTCCCGTGGTAGTCCAGTTCCAGCTTGGGTTGCCCGTGGTGGTCCAGTTCCAGTTTGGATTGCCAGTAGTTGTCCAGTTCCAGTTGGGGTTTCCCGTGGTTGTCCAGTTCCAGCTTGGGTTTCCCGTGGTAGTCCAGTTCCAGTTTGGATTGCCTGTGGTTGTCCAGTTCCAGTTTGGTGGTGCTGTGGTGGTCCAGTTCCAATTCGGATTGCCTGTGGTTGTCCAGTTCCAGTTTGGGTTTCCCGTGGTAGTCCAGTTCCAGTTTGGATTGCCTGTGGTTGTCCAGTTCCAGTTTGGTGGTGCTGTGGTGGTCCAGTTCCAACTTGGTGGCTCTGTAGTGGTCCAGTTCCAGTTTGGGTTGCCCGTGGTTGTCCAGTTCCAGTTTGGTGGTGCTGTGGTGGTCCAGTTCCAGTTAGGGCTTCCCGTAGTTGTCCAGTTCCAGTTAGGTGGTGCCGTGGTGGTCCAGTTCCAGTTTGGTGGTGCTGTAGTGGTCCAATTCCAGCTAGGTGGCTCTGTAGTGGTCCAGTTCCAGCTTGGGTTGCCCGTGGTTGTCCAGTTCCAGTTAGGTGGTGCTGTGGTGGTCCAGTTCCAGTTTGGTGGTGCTGTTGTGGTCCAGTTCCAGCTTGGACTGCCCGCAGTTGTCCAGTTCCAGTTTGGTGGTGCTGTGGTGGTCCAGTTCCAGTTTGGGTTGCCAGTGGTCGTCCAGTTCCAGCTTGGTGGGCTTGGAGTTGTCCAGTTCCAGCTTGGTGGGCTTGGCGTTGTCCAGTTCCAGCTTGGTGGGCTTGGAGTTGTCCAGTTCCAGCTTGGTGGGCTTGGAGTTGTCCAGTTCCAGCTTGGTGGGCTTGGAGTTGTCCAGTTCCAGCTTGGCGGGCTTGGCGTTGTCCAGTTCCAGCTTGGTGGGCTTGGATTTCCAGTGGATCCAAAAATCTGAGAAATGCAATTTTCCAGGCCAACAGATGACTTTTCCAGTTCACGCAGAGTTCTCTTAATTTCGTGGGTAATACAACGTTGGGTCTGCCAGAAATGTTTATGCATGGGACGCACATCAGCAAACAGATTCATGACCTAAATTAAAGAGCCTTCGATTAGTAAGCCCCTCGGCAAATGAGTGGCTTTTTCCGCCATACCGAATCCGCATAACAGCTGCGCGTGCTACAGCCGAGCATCTGCTGCTGGAAGGCAGCCTTTACTCCTGCTGAGCTCTCCTGTTGCAAATAGCTTTGCAGGTCGGCTTGATCCACATTGCTGCATTGACGCAGTTTGCTGCCCGCATTCATCAATATCTCCACATTTTTGACCGTGTAAATGGCCGCACATTGATCCAAGCTGTTAATGGCACCCAATTCGGGCATTTGTAGGTCTCCAACAATGGCATCGAAAAGTAAATTTTGTATGCTCAGCCTATTACTGATATCATTCGGTTGAACAGATTCAGCTTTCGCATGGGTCTGAGATTTAACAGATATTGAGTAAAGAGATTTAAAGTTATGTTAGGAAGGCTTGCAATATATACTATATTTAATAGTTATTCCTTGGGAGTGCTATTTAAATTTTGAAGGATGTATAATAAACTTTTTTCAATAGTGCTATTTGGCTAGTTAAGCTATCGGACAATTAAGAGATTTAAAGTTATATTAAAAAAATTTGTAGTGTTTCGGACTACTTAATTTTAATGGGATGCAGAGATGTAAAATTGTTATCGGAGCCTGGACTATGCATATAAAATTATTGCTTTTTCTTTAAATATATTAGAAATAATAATATAATATTAGAAAAAATAATAATAATAATAAATAAATAATAATAATAATAATTCAGAATATTATGTATATTATCATTACAATTTATTAATAGAATTATTATTTCAATTTATTATTATTTTTATTTATAAGTATTACGTTGCATACTATTTATTCATTTATGCACATGACCAGTTCGTCATCTATGCAATTTATCTATAAATATATATTTTATTTTATCGCTTAAAATACGCATATACAATTTCTTATCATATCATATGATATTATATTATCTATGCACACGAATACTCAAGGCAGCAAGGCAATTTGTATACAGATATATTGTATTATAATTTATCACTTTTAATAATATAGTCACCGATTTAAATAGTTATGCAACTGAAGTAGTTTCGATAAAGTTCAATAGTACTCACCGTTGAGGTGAATAGCAGTGCGCAGAGCACTACCAGTTTGTAGAGAACCTCCATGGTGGCGGCTCCTTTCGTTTCTGAGTTGGACAATGTATCACCTGGGCATTTTAAATGAAATTTCTTGCCCACAATCGATGACGACTTGAATTATTTGCCTTTTATATTTATATTTTATCAACAACTGTCTGAAGTCACACTTAACAAAGTGTTTTTATTTTTTCTTGGTGGGGCTTCCGCTCAGTGATAAGCAGCCTGATTGATGATTACAATTTTCTGCATACGGTTATTTTTTTTTTTGTTTTCTTTTCTATACTGTGTGTTCACATATGTATAGAAAATATAGTTAGATACGACAATTGTGAGTAAGTCATAGACGAAAATTCTGGGAACACTGATTGCTTTTCGACACTTGAGGTACGCTTTGACATTAACCATCGATTGGCAGGGAAACGTTATCAAATTCAATAAATATTTTTAGATGTTTTTGAATTTGGGACCCATTAAATCAAGACATTGTTTTTGCCATATTGAGAAGGTCAAGTAAATAGAATATTAAAGCTCTTTATTCTGCGCCAATAAAACTTAAGATTGGCCATAAATTCCACAGCTCACATTTAGTTAGCAGGCTGTTGAGCGGCCAGGGGCTGATCGGGCTTTTGTTCAGGCCTCTGCTCAGGTTTTTGCTCCGGCTGCTTCTCAGGTTTCTGCTCTGGCTGAGTCTGGGCGAGCTCTTTGCGCTCGGGCTCGTGCTCAACTGGCAATTCACGCTGGCTGGGCACCTTAGCCATGCAGCTATTGAATTCATTGGCCGCCTCAATGGACTTTACCTTGGACTCGTCAACAGCAACGCTGATGCAGCTGGTGCGCTGCGTGGCAACAATGGTCGAGTTGGTGGCGAACTGAGATTGGGTCTGATAGGCCAGAGTGTTGGAGCTATCCAGCAGCTGTAGGTTCTTGTCGAACTAAGGACCCCAAGTATTAAATTGTCCACATCAAATTGTTAAATTGGAAGTCACATGCAATTACTTACAGTGGACACGGTGCAGTTGATGAGTCGCTGGCTATCGGTCTCATTGTTGCACTGCTGCAAATTCTTCTCCAGCGACAGATGCTGTGCGCGTATCTGGGCAACGGTGGCATTGGCGTTCTGTGCATTGGCAACCACGGTGCGATTGGCCGCCTCTTCACATTTGCTGGTGGCATTGGCCAGCTCCTCGCTGATCTTGTAGGTCGCATTGGTATACCTGTTGACACAGGCGGTCTCAGCAGGCGATGCGGCGCGAGAAATGGCCAGCGGGGAGCTCAGCTGAGCCATGACCATGCGAAGCAGGCTCGACTCATCGGCCATGCGAGGCCAGGCGCTGGCCTGTAATGAAAATGTAATTTGTAATTTAAGTTGTTTCTATAAGTGGCGTCAACTTACGCCCAGCACTGTAACTGCGAGTAGTAGAACGCGTGTAAACAATTGCATTGTGTATCAGTTACTTCTTGAAGTGCTTACTAATTGCTCATCCTAAGGTTCAGTTGCTTTTATAGCTGGGCGAATTGTCGCTTCTTCTCGGCCTGCTCTGAGAGAGTGCAGATTTTTTAGGTTTTTTTGGTTCTTTTTGCAGCCTTCGATTAGATATGGCAATTGTACAAGGCAATTGGCACATTTAATTAGTTTTTCTCCAGTTTTAAGACACGTAGCGACTACCCTTTGCAATGATATCTTAGCTGAGGCTATAGTATAAAGCACCCGGGCATGATAAATTTTCCCCCAAAAAGAGACACAAAGACACTAATCAATGCTCATGTCCCATTAGTTGCGCTTATCAGACTTCGAAACGGTGTCTTGATGTCTGCATTCTTATCTAACAATATGATATAAGAACTTATTTATAAGGCATTTATTTATTGACTGAATCGCCTGAACTATGCATTCGCATTTACTCAATTCAAGTCATTCAATTTACACGCGTCCTAATTAATGCCTACAGTTCGATTGTTCGAGTGGCAATTGATTATTTGAAAATTATTTTACATGATTCGCATAAATTCAGTAACAGCCCACTTTCAAACTTTAGACATGGAGGCATATCGAGACGCTTTCCCAGAACTGATAGGAAATCACTAAGACCAATCGGCTATAAAAATTTAATCAGTTCCTGATAATGCATAACGCATTTCCATGAATTTTCTTATAATTTCTTTAGGGTTTTTTTACATTTTTGTGATTTTTATTCACTTTAAAAACTGATCGAACCATGAATGGAAAAACACATTACGTTGGGTTTTTGATATATTAATCACTTAAGTGACATTTTATACTCAATTTATTTATTTTTAGATAAACCTGTCATATATGTTTAACTATGATGGCCAGACTTTTATTGAAGCCCCTTTGCTATAGATTTTAATTGTTTCTCTTTGTTTGAAATATTCTGCAATGTTTGTTTAGTTCTTTATTTTCTTATAAAAAATTAATATTTAAAAAAAATGAAGAAAATAAAAATGTTGCTCAATAAGTATTTCGGTCTGTCCATATAAATATGATATATTGTCTATATGAATTCAGATCAATTTATATTTTGTTTAATTGCTGTGAAAAAAATGGTTAATTGTCAAAAAAAAGTTATCAAGTAATTAGAAACCATTTAGATTTGGTTTGTTATTTTTTTCTTTTAGATTTATTCACTCGATATCCAAAAAAAAATATAATGTGCCTTTTAAATATTACAGATAATAACATGGAATAAAACAATTCTTTTAAGTATTATTTTCCAATCGATTTTATTCAAATAAATTTTTTAAATATTTTTTTATAATTTATTCATTCATTCATATATTAAATTAAAGGTTATTTATTCATTAAAACGATTCATAGGCATTTAAAATTCTAGGAAATGCCTGATAAATGGTTTCCCCTTATGGGAGCTATAACCTTTCTCCATGCTAGCCTATAAATTTGTTAGCTCATTAGAAGGTAAAGTCAGCTGACTTCACCTGACTTTCAGTCAATTTGCAAACAATAAGCTTGAAATTCAATTCATTTTTCATAGATGGGTGTAGGCTGGCGAAAAAATCAGTGCCAAGATTGCCAAGTGAAAGAATGCTGGCAAAACAATTTTGAAAAGTGGCTAAATTCTCAGTTGCCAACAAATTTATCACAACATGCCAGCACACACACACACACCCACACACACACACCCACACACACACACACAATCGCATGTAGATATGCGACGCTCTCATATATCATGCGACAAGGCAAACAAGATTTATAAGTTAAAACATGCTTTGGGCAACTCTAGAGAAATAACGTCAAAAGCGGGGCCTCAAAAAGAAAATGTATTTCTTTTATTTTTTTCGGCGCACAACTCGAACGATTAATCAAAAGTATAAACTGCAGCCGCTGGCTGCAACTTTTACTGAGGTGTGCAGAAGGAGATTTGGGGTGTGGCCGCTGCTAATGGCACATGTGCTGTGCCAAGCACTGCGGCCTGCCACAACCCAGTCAGCTTGCCTTGAGAGACAGTGACAAAAAACCGCGAGCCCAGCTCACATGCTCATTATGCACTGTTCAAAGGGTGAAACTGAGTATGCTGGCTTTTGTGGAATGGCTGTCTTTTTCTTTGAACTGCACTTTGTGCCAGCTATTGAAGCTGGAGATTGCAAACTACGTATATTTACTTGAGTATAAATAAATTACATATTCCCAGCGGAAGCTGGTCCAATTACAATATTCGAGTCTAAATGTTTATTAAAGTAACCCGCTAAGTACAGCTTCAATAATCTCCCTCTTATCTATATATATATACATTTTCCGTATTTTTCTTTCACAGTGTGACTGCGTTGTGGCTTACAGTTTTAAACCGTCAAGCTCGTATGCAAGCATACTTTTTCATTTTCTTCATATTTTTGACGAATTTTTACCCTGTGAAGAGTATTTGGCAGTTGCCTGCAACTGATTGCAATGTTTGCATTTGCTTTACGTTTGCCAATGTTGGCTAATTTGAATATGGCCTGCCATTTTGCTTTATTTTGGCAGAGTTGCAAAGTCAAGTGTGAGTCTTTTACGCTGAGCTGTCAGCGCTTGAAATGCGACAGCTGTTCTTTGTATGTTGTTGTTCTTCTTGTTGTTGTTTCTCAATGGCCTGGCACTTTTAATGACACCATTGTCACCTTGGCCAACCACAAAAGCTCTTCCTGCTAACCCCCGCCCAGCTTCTTGCTCATTTGGTGCTCGCCACGTTGAGTGGGCGTCATGTAATGCGGCTTGAAGTGTCATTTACACGCGCATTGTATTGTACAGGCAGCAGCTGCCTGTTTGGCTGGCACTTCGCTGGGCTCTGTTTGCGTTTTAAGTAGCTGTTAAGCATTTTCATTACACACGCCAAAATGCACAATGATTTATGCCAAGAACCGGGCACCGTTATCACGTGTTCGTTCTGCTGTCAACGGATTAAATACTCATACTCTGCCTATAACTGAAGCCCGCCCTTTGTGCGTTGCATTTTGCTGGCAGTTTATCATTAAAAAAAAGAAAAGCAAGAAGAAAATAAAAAAAAAATGGCATTTCATGCTGCATGCCGCATGCCGCATGCCTCATACAAAGTATACAATACTCGGATATATGAGTGTTGCGCATTTTCAAGACCAGGCAACAACACTGACATTGCACATTGTTGCACACTGTTTCTGCTTGCTGCATGTTGTTGTTGCTGTTGCCGTCAGTGGGTTTTCGCTTTTGTATGCTGCAGCTTTGTATGCAAATAAATGGGCGGTCTAGACGGGCACGCACAATGGCAGTTTTAATTTGAAAAGTGGCTGCAACAACAACAACAACAACCACCACCACCACCACCCCATATAGAGAAAAGTGCAAACCACTTTTTTTTTTATTTTATCATTCTGCAACAACCGCAAACACCCCATGTGAATACGCGTGTCGTGTTGACATTTGCGGCCAGAGCAGAAATTTAAAATAGTTTAAAAATATATATGAAAATATAAACAACTTTAGTTTAGTTGCTTTGGTTTTTGGTAAAAGTGTTGAAAAAGTGCAGAAAGTGACAAAAGCAATATCCGAGTCTTTTGTTAAATTTGAAAAGCAGAGTTTTG